ATCAAATGTTTTAAGGAAAAACATGAAGACACTAAGGACATAAATGGAAACTATCAAAGAGAGCTAAATGGAATTATTGTTTTGTTAATAATATATTCTCTGAAATAAAATTTTCTCTCTCTTTGGAATTTTAAATTTTATTTAATTTTCATTTTAAAACTGAGATTCCATTTGGCTATTAAAAAACTTTTTTATACTTTTTTTATTGTATTTTTTCCAAGAGAACTAAATGGAATTATTTTTTGTTGATAATGCCTTCTCCAAAATAAAATTTTCACTGATCAAGCATTAGAATACAGTTCCTGGAACCAATCCCTCACAGACACCAAGGGACAGCTAAGTTTTGGGTAGTCAAAAGTTATAAATGGATTTTCAGCTGTGCAGGGGGTTGGTTACCCTAACTCCTGTATTGTTCAAGGGTCGACTGTACTGTTGACTTCTTATCAGACATAATGCAATCTCAAAGAACATAGAACAACATCTTTAAAAGACTGAAAGGAAAATAAAAATCTGTCATCCTAGAATTCTATATCTACGGAATGATTCCTTTAAACCGAAAGAAAAATAGACATTTCAGAAAAACAGTAGCTGAAAGGAATTGTTACAAACAGAGCAACACTACAAAAAATAATAAAGGAAGCTCTTTAGGAAAAGGAAAATGATACCAGATGGGATCTGTATGTACAGATTGATATAATGATTAAGGAAAAAAATAACATGTATTTGGAGTCTATGACACATATGAAATAAATATATGACAATAATAAATAATTGGAGTTTAGAAATATACAGGGACTGGCAAAAGGAGGTTTACAGTTGTGAGTAAGCGAATTAGTTTATTCTTATATTATTATTTATTAATTACTGTATTATTTGTTATTATTAACCTACTTCTGCCTACCTTTGTATTATTGTAAGCTTCTTATATTTTACATAATATGGTATATTATTTCATAATGGCATAACATTATTTCAAAATCCTAGATTTTTGCAATCCCCAAATACATAAATATATCCATCAAAATATACATACAAATATAAAGTGTAGCTAACAAAGGAGATAAAATTGAGGAGACAAACTATTAAAAAAAACTCAACTGTCTAAAGAAGACATGAAAAGAGGAAAAAGGAAGAAGAACATGTAAGACAAATGGAAAACAAATTGGAGGATGGTAGACTTAATTCCAGTTATATCAATAATTACATTAAATATAAATGAATTAAACACACCAATTAAAAGACAAAAATTTTCACACTGTATAAAAAAAGCAAGACAACTATGTCATCTACAGAAACACACATTAGCCCTAGCTGGTGTGGCTCAGTGGATTGAGCGCTGGCCTGCAAACCACAGGGTCACTGGTTCATTTCCCAGTGTAGGGCACATGCCTGGTTTGCAGGCCAAGTCTTCAGCAGGGAGTGTGCGAAATGCAACCACACATTGATGTTTCTCTCACTCTCTTTCTCCCTCTCTTCCCCTTTCTAAAAATAAAATAAATAAAATCTAAAAAAAAGAAAAAAGAAAAAGAAACAAGGATATTAACTGAGTTATTTTTTAAAAATCGCTGATATTTTAAAAAAACAAAACACATTAATATAAAGACATCAAGTAAAAATGAAAAAAAGGGAAAGATACACATGGAAATGTAAGAAAGCAGAAGTAGTTATATTAGTATCAGAGGAAGTAGATTTCAGGAGAAGAAATATTAGAAGAGATAAAAAGAACTTATATAGTGGTAAAGGGCCAATTTATCAAGAAGACAGTACAACCCTAACTGTAAAATAGTATAACTACTTGGGAAAGAGGTTTGGCAATTTCTTTTAAAAGTAAATATGCACTTACCATATGACCGAACAATCCCACTCCTACCTATTTATCTACAAGAAACCATTAAATACACAACAATACTTTCACATAAATATTCACAGACATTTTTTGACAATAGTCCCAAAACTAGAAGCAACTCAAGTGCCCATCAGTCTGTGAATGGATAAACAAATTGTGGAATATTATTCATCAATAAAAAGGAACTTCTGTTACTAAATATCACTGCGAAAGAGAGTAGCCAATCACAAATGAATACATACCATTTAATTCCACATATATGAAATTCTAGAATAGGTAAAATTTGCCTTTATTGATGTAAATTAGGTCAGAGGTTGGGATTATCCCCCTGGGAAGAGACATAAGGGAATTTGGGGTTTGTGGAAACATTTTATATCTTCTTTGAAGCTATGGTTACACAACTGAACCACTGTACGAATAGAATGGGAAAATTTTATTTTTGAAAATTATACCTCAATATGTTGCCTTAATAGATAGATAGGTAGATAGATAGATAGATAGATAGATAGATAGATAGATAGATAGATAGATAGATAAAAAAGGAAGGCCCTAGCCAGGTAGCTCAGTTGGTTGAGTTTGGCCCAATAGGCCAAAGTTGCACATTCAAACCTGGTCAGGGCCCATACAAGAATCAACCAATGAACTATCTAGCCAGGTAGTTCAGTTGGTTAGAGCACTGTTTCCATGTGCCAAGGTTGCAGGTTCGATCCCCAGTCAGGGCACATATAAGACTCAGTCAATGAATGCATAAATATGTTGAACAGCAACTTGATGTTTCTCTCTCTCTCTAAAAAAATAAAATAAAAACAAACAAACAAAAAAACAAACAAGGAAGAGAGTTTTAAGGATAGTTAATGTAAGGAAACAGAAAACTTCCTGTTGCTGCAAAAGCCAAACTCATGAGGCAGATGTTAGTACAAAAGGAAAGAGGTTTTATGCAGGTGCTGTGTGACCAGGGAGAATGGCAGACTCCCATCTCAAAGCCCATCTCCTCTTTCAGCCATGGAAAAATCCCAACCATCCTCCATAAGGCCAAGACAAAAGCCAGTGTTCAGAGTTCCTGCTCCATTTTAAAGTACAGTCCTTTGGAGTACACAGGTGGCTGCTAAGCAGTCTTAGTCCCCGCTGAGGTAACTCAGCTTGTTCCTGGCTGCTGTCCATTCCTGGAGCCTGCATGTGGAGCCCTCAAGGCCATGGGCCATGTGGCTGCTAAGGCCGCATGAGATCGCCTGCTCCAGGGATAGGGACCATGCGAATGCACTGGGGAGAGCATCACCCTGTGGACAAGATGCCAAGAGAGGCTCCCAGAAGCCATGGCCATGTGGCTGCTACCTCCACAGAACCCATGGAGAGAACAAGCAAGTGCACCCTGAGAATGCAAGTCAGGAGCAAGTGAAAGAGCTTCTTTTTCCCCTAATGTGGTATTAGCTTGGGTGTGGGATGGGCTAGGTGCTTTCTCATAATTGCCCATCAACTTTTCAAACTGTTGAGTGCTCCCACTAGGTCCACCTCCCAACCAATCCCTTCTTTCCCCAGGCTAGACTGACAGGCCTCTTTGGTCCAGCACCTCCCTGAGTCATTTTGACTTCTATGGCTCCTGTACCTGGTCTCCCCTAGTCCCACCCCTAATCTGGGGGGTGGGAGAGAAGGGCCTTTTTTTCCTAAACAATTATCTTGCTAGCTTTTCACGTGCTCACTGTAAGAAGCCTCCTGTGCCACCAACTTGGCTGATGGTGATGAGGGAAGACTTCCTGGCACTCTGATTGACAGTTTGACTTTTTAATGGTGACATTGACAGGGTTAAATGCCACAGAAAGAAAGATAACTCTGAGAATTGGAAAGAACTTGTTTTGCTACAAGGAAATAGTTAGGGACTTTTGGAAACACTTTTATTGAAAAGATGGGTAGAATCCAGGAAGACACTTTAGTCATATTTACCTAGAACGAAAAACTCAAGTAGAAAACACATAAACTTTTCTATTTCAATTAGGTCTTGTTAAAATGCAGGTTCTGATTCATTCTTGGATGAGACTTGATAGTCTACATTTTTAACAAGATCCCAGGTGATGTGGATGTTGCTAGTACGATACATCTGCTACACTTTAAGGAGCACAAACCCAGATCACTTTTCTGAGGCACTGATGATTTATATCAACTGACAATTTGGTCTATAAAATCCCAAGATCCAGGGAATCCACGCTTACCATTAGTTACGCGTAGATCGACAACTCAGCCCACTTTCTATGTGTGAACTGTAACCAGTTAAGTTGCATTTGAGGCTCTGGAAAATAATAGTGATTTTACACCAGCAGCCTTGGGTTCAAATTCACTCAATTTCTAACTGATAATCTGGGTTACCACCTGTAGGCTGCAAGATGAGAGCCGTTTCCGTTTCTTTTCTCTAGACTATGGTGAGGATTACAATCGAAAATGTAAGTGAAAGTAGTTCATGAACTATAACCTAAAAAGAAAAAAAGAATGACGCAGAATGAGCAAAACAAGATCTTTCATTCCCCAATTTTTAAAAGGAGCGGGACCTAAAATAAGAGGTGGGGCTCCGGGACTATCCCCGTGGGCGTGCAAGGAATGTGCCATATTATGAGAGGGGCGCCTCATTTCAAATGAGCCGTAATATATAAGATTCTGTACTCAATGTTATCTTTCAATTATGAAACTCGAAATACGAACTTTTCCATTACATCCTCCAACTGCCACCTAACTCAAAGTTCAGGGACACTATTTTGCTTCACTCTACTAGTTTTCAAATAAGGTCCGCCCCACGCATCTCCGTCCCTTTCTCGCATCCACTCGTCACTTTTCTGCCCCCGCAGCCCGTGGCCCCCGCCCGCGGGCTGGAGTTTCCACTACGACTGGAGCCGAGGTAATGGACTCCTCTATCTACTTGACGGTGGCGGGGGAGTACGGGGCGCCACGTTCCGGAGAACGGTAAGACCCCCGGGAGACGCGACGTGGAATGAGGACAGCATGCAAGTGGAAGACGCGGCGTCGAGGCAGGAGGGGGAGACGCGAGGGCCGCAGCCACCGCGCCAGCGCGCAACTTCGTCCTCAGCCGCGCCACCACCCCCAGAGCCTTCTGAGGATGGCACGGGCGGGAGGGGGCGGGGCCGGGCGCGCGGCGGCCGCCTTCGCTGCGGCCGGAAACAATAGTGCAGGAGTCGGAGCCGCACGGAACGGCTGCAAGGTACGCAGAGTTGGGCGGTAAAGACCCTGCTCCCTGGTCCCCGACCTGCTTGCGCCGCGGCCCCGCCGCCCCCGCTGTCCCCGCGGTCCTCGCTGTCCTCGCTCTCCGAGTTTCGCGTCCCCTCGGGTGCCCCGACGGATGGAAGGAAAGGTGCATTCGGGACCGCGGCCACTTGAGCGGCGGACGCGACTCTCAACGCCGGAGGCTGGGCTTGGGTCCCACTGCCCTAGGCGCTGAATTCGGCAGACCAGAGCAGTGGTCCTCGAACCTTCTCTGGGTGGCAGGGAATCCAGGGCGAGGGAGACCTACGGCTCCTCCCGACTTGGCCACCCCGCGTCTGGCGGTGCCGGAGCCGCTGTCGGGCTTTGGACATTGCGGGTGCTTTGGAAGCGGGCGGGACGCTCAGCTCCGGGGTTTGCGTTTCCACGTGCATTTTCCCGCCGCTGATCTCCGACGGGAAGCCTCACTACGCCAAGTTAACGAAACCCATCTAACACAATGAAGTTAGCAAAGCGGGGTCCGAAGTGGTCGTTTTTTCCTTCATTTAACTGCGTTAAGTAGGCTGACAGACCCCGGCAGCTGAAAAGGCCTCGTTGCTCTTCTTTCTGTGTGCGTTCCAGGGATGGAGGGGCACACTAGAAACCCCGTAAATAGCTTTCTTTCAGATGGCCATCTCAACCAAATGAAATACAGGACTACAAAAAAAGGCCTTTGGGTAGAGTGTCACCTATGACAAGGCTTTAAGTTTTCTAGGTTTGTGTCTTTGCACACAAAAAAGTATGTTATTGAAGTGCAATGCTTATGGCGATGCTTGTTTGATGGACTATTGCGTTAGATAAACTGAACAGCATCCCTCTTTTCCTAGAAGTTCCTAGTATTGCTGTAAGCCCTAAGGGCAGGTTCTTGAAAATGCGTTAACTTTGCTTTTCTGTTCCTTAATAGAGGCACTATGAACGAAGAGGAGCAGTTTGTAAACATTGATTTGGATGATGACAACATTTGCAGTGTTTGTAAACTGGGAACAGACAAAGAAACACTCTCCTTCTGCCACATTTGTTTTGAGCTAAGTATTGAGGGTAAGTACGGAGTATAGATTCATTTTATGGCATGAGCTTTCTACTATATGTGAACTAGTTATAAGGTAAAACAGATGTTTCTTAAATGATTGCAAATTGTGCCAAGTATGAAGTGTGGAGATGTGAAAGATAAGGATTTATGGAAAGGAAGCTGAAGTTAGAGCAGCCATGAATTTAAGAAAACCTTTTAAAAAACTTACACAGTTCTAACCCCATTTTTACTAATATAAAAATGAGATGAGTATTGATTGATGAACATGTTTTCTGCTTTGAGAACTTACGAAATTGTTAGATTTTAACAGACATTTGTGAGTGTGCGTGTGTGTGGTTTATTTTGTTCTAACATTAAGAGCTAAGGTAACTAAACATTTACTTTGATGGACAAGTGTAATTTAATTCCTTTGGCCTGCAATTCTAGTACTTAATGTGAGCTAGAACTCTTCCGGTGCAGTCTTACTATCTAGAAAAAAATTTTTTTAAATTTTTAGATAACCTCTTTTCAGTGGTCTCACATACTTTTAATAATCTTTTTATACATAAAAAGGGCTTTTACAATTTCTTAGTAGTATCCCTAAGAGTATATGAAAAAGAGTTCTCCAAATAAAAAAAAAAAAGAAAGGAAGGAACTGTTATTGAAAGTATGTGTTGGAATTAGTGCATAGTTAATGTGTCTATAGATAGCAATAGTTTGGTCCCAAGAAAAATGTGAAAAATGTTTCTTTAATCTTGATGTTGTCATGATAAAACTGATTTATTTTATTGTCTATGCTACTGCAGTAATCTCCCACTTTTTCTAAAAGTCTTGATTTTTAAAAATATTTGAGTCACACTAAAAGGAATCTTAATATTCTGGCAATAAAAAAATTTGCTTGTCATTTGTATTTTGAATTGTAACATCAGCAGAGAGATCTTGTTAGACTTGTAGATTTGGGGTGGTTTCAAAGCACTATTTCATTGTTTTTGCTGGGTTACATATTTGAAAATTTTCATTATCTTTCTATTTATTAAGTAGGAGAAATGAAATGTTCCTATCATTTAAAAAAAGAAAAGAAAAAGAACACGTTAGGATTCTCTACTTTGAGATTCCTATTAGGACTTTTCAGAAATTGTTGTAGGCACCAAATTAATATACTTAGATATTCTATAGTAAAAGACAAAATTATAGCCATAAGTAGACTACTAAAAACATGAATTAATTATTTGACAGTCATCTTTTATTTAAGATCATACTAGTTATGACAGTTTTGTTGTTATACTCTGGAAGAATTGTAGTTGCTGAACAGATTATTGATGGAAGATCATGGATTTCCTATAGGTTTCCTGTAGGCTTTAATAAGTGTAGTAAATATAACTAATTTCAGAGGGATGACTTCAAAAATACGATTCTTTGGTGGCATTTAAATTACCATGCTAGAGTAAAAGATTATAATTTTATGTTCTTTGGGAAAAGAGTTGGCCCTATATATTCTTTCACTTGAAGATTTTAATTTTAAATGGGCAAAAGCATTAGAAATGATCTAGCTCGAACCTCTTTTTTTACACAGAAGGAAACAGCCAGATTGTTGGACTGTTCAAGGTTGCAGTAGTGGCAATAGCAAGCTGTTGTTAAGTCCCAGGCATGTGCTGTGGGCAATTCTGTGCCAGGCACTGTACTAAGCACCTTATGTGGTTTATCTTACTCAGCTCAAAATAGCTCTGGGATAGGGTACTTTTACCCATTTTAGAGGTGATGGGACCTAAGAAATATACTTTGAAGTCGTACAGCAGTAATTGACAGTCCTTGGCTTTGAAGCCTGATAATCTAATTCTAGTGTATGTGATCTTAATTCCATTGATCCAGTGTCAATGGTTATTTCAGTTGATAGGGCTAATATTAGAAACCTGTTTTCCTGAATCCTAACTAGCTACCACTGCGGTTCTGTTAGCCAGCATCTACCAACCAGTGCTTCCTGCTAAATCATTAATGTTACTTGTGCTGTGATAAAATTTTTCTACAGAAATATAAACTTTGACAATTGTTTTTCTACCTTTTTTTTTTTCCTGGTATGTGTTTTACCTGGTTCTCAATCATTATATAAAGAATATACCTAAGAAATATACAAATATTTGATGAAATGTTTATAAATATTTCATCTGTGATAACAGCTATCTCAGTATAAGTCCTACATCGTTGAAATAATAGTTGTCTTTAATTTAAAAAACAAAACCAGTTCTCAGTTTGAATTAGAACTATTTTAATATTCTATTCTACGTACACACAAGGTTTTATGATTTTAATGCCAGTTATACCTTTGTGAGAAAATTATTTTAGAGTTAAAATTTCTTCTCAATTTATCTGAAGTCAGTTCTTGTACATATAATACATTTTCATCCTAACCACACTGACGAGCTAGTGAAGTATAATTACTTTAGTATCCTAAGGTTTTTTAAATCTTAGAAATTTTAGGAAAAGAGGAAGAAAATGAGGATCCTGAATTCCACAAAATTTTAATTTGTATATCAGTGTACAGGTCTTTAGAAACCAATGAAAAAAGGTGGTAATAAAAAAATTCCATACCTAAAAATACCAAGGCATATTCTTTTCTCTGTCAGTAAACATTTTTAAATGTTTTTGTAGTTTCCTTTCCCCTACCATGTTCTCGGCACAGGACCAGCCAGTAAATGTTAAACTATAAGAGGAACTTTAAAAAAAAAATAACATTTACCTTTACTAATTTGGTATAACTTTTTTTATAATAGGTAATGTTGCTGTTGCCTGGTTTCTTTAGTAACAACTAATTGCTAAATTGGTTGTACAGCATTTTTTTCCCCCAGCCAAGAGGCTAGTTAAAAAATCTTTTAAGGAGCTTTTAGGTTAGTTTTTTGTTGTTGTTGTTGTTTTAATTTATTAAGGCGACATTGGTTAATACGAGCACATGGATATTAAGTGTGCGTTTCTATGATAAATGGTCTGTATATTGTTTTGGGCTCTCACCACCCAGAATCGGATCATCTTCCACCACCATGTATTTGGCCCAAGGCTAGTTTTTGAGTCCACAATTGGCCTAGTTAAGAGTTCACAGATTGGTAGTAAACAAAAATGTTTTACACCTTTTGTTGCCTATGTCAGATCGAAACTGGTCTAATCTGATGGCCTCTTGTTTAAAAGCTGTGTGCCTGCATATATTTATAAAAGGAAGACAAAAGAAGAAAGAAATAACAAAAGACAGTCTAATCTTATAAGGAGAGATTTCATTTTGAGCATGGCTGTACATTGCCTTTTTTCTGTGACTAGACAGTAATTAAAAGGAAATGGGTATCTACATTTTTAAGACATAAATGATGTACTTCAAAGACCTAAGACTTATACTTTGAATACATAAATATTTGTAAATGTTCACAAGATTCCTTTTTTTGTTACCTATACTTCACCATGAAAATAACTTGGTGGCCCCGACAGCGTTACTCGGTTGGTTGGAGAACATTGTCCTGATACACCAAGGTTGCTGGTTTGATCCCTGCATATAAATAAGTGGAACAACAAACAAATGAATCACTCTCTCTCTCTCTCTCTCTCTCTCTCTCTCTCCCCCCCCCTTCTGATCCTCCCTCTCCCTCTCTCTTCACCCTCACCCTTCTCTCTCTCTGTCTCTAAAATCAGTAAACCAAAATTTTAAAAAAAGACTTGTGTACATTTAAGATTAAGAGACAGATACATAAACTTATTAATATATATAGCCTGTTCTTGGCTATAAGACACTATAAACTGTTGATGAGTATATGATCAAATACACTAATGTGCATTACGTATAGTTGATTGTGCTAAAATTTCAAAAGTTGTGTAATGACCAAATTACTACTATCCCTGAGCTGTTGAGGCTTGGAGGGACGGAGCCCGGGGTGCTCAGGGAGCCGATAATGAAACTCAACAGTAATATAACAAAGTCATAAATGAGACTAGAGAGGGAAATGATGCAGAGTTCTAGTCCATTGCTTCATGCTATCTGTTTTCATTTTGTGCCAAAATGCACAAATAATTAGTATTTCTACTTTCCGCTAATAATTTGCTTCTTTCCTACTCTGTAGAGAAACTTTTTTGTAAGACTGGGTCAATTCCCCTTATGCTAAGCAAAGTTTCCAGTGTAAGGTGGCCTTGCTAGTTGATTGGTAGACATTACTAATGCTTACTGGTCCAACTCAGTTGGACTTTGTAGTCCATCTCAGTCTTTTTTTTTTTTTTTTTAATGATTTTATTTATTTATTTTTAGAGAGACAGGAAGGGAGGGGAAAAGAGAGGGAGAGAAACATCACTCTCTTACTGTAAGGCTGCCCCTCATGCACCCTACTGGGGACCTGGCCCACAAGCCAGGCTTGCGCCCTGCCTGGGAATCGAGCCGGAGGCTCTTCAGTGGAAGGCCTGCAGGCCGGCACTCAGCCCACCAAGCCACACCAGCCAGGGCCATCCATCCCACTCTTTATTCTCACCTAATTTGTTGAATTTTTCCAGATGCTGGTCCAAATTCAGATCCTTAGTAACCTTTCCAACAAGAAGAATATGTAGGTGTTTTCTCTTGGTTAAGACACTGGTGAACCTAATCCTTTATGTTTTAATCTCATTCTTGATTCTCTGTGTCTTTGCCTGAAATGCTGTTCACACGGTCAGTAGTCACAGGGAACACTTTGGATCTCAATATTAAATCCTTGGGTGCGTTTGGAAGTCAAGACTACTCGGAGTCTTTACAGCTCCTCTCCGTCCTGCTGCTAACACGCTAGTGTCTTTCCACTGAAGTCAGCGTGGCCGCCGCTGTGATGGGGAAGTTGTGTGTGGGTGACTCCATCGGGTATTGGCCTCTTCCCCTTGTTTGCCATAATGGCAGACGTCATGGGTTGGTATTAACTAAAAGAGCATTTTAAAATATAAAGCCTAATGTGAGTTTAGAAGATAATGAGTATTAAACTTCACTAACATCAATAGATAATTTTAGAAATTTTTAAAATATATTAAGAATTAGTGTCTCTCT